CCAACAACAGCAAGATTACATTTGAATAGCGCCTTTCACGTTGGGAGGATGTCCCAAGCCAATTTGCGCGCAGCAATGACCCTCAGTTTAAAAACACATCTGAAGGACACCACCTCCAAACATGCAGCGTTCCTCCAGTACTGCATTGGAATGTCAGCTTAGACTAAGGTGATCCAACATTTGTGGTTGATGTTGAGGGCCGAATGCCACATTTGAAAAACGTCCGCAGGACGCATAAGCAATACTTTAGTTTTTCCCTTCCAGAAACATAAAAGATCATACAGAAATCCTATGTTTAAATTGTATGACTGTATTAGGTAATGATATAATCTCAAATGGAAATATATGCAAATAATTTTTTAATGTATTGAAGTCAAAACACAAGATATCAACTCATCGTATGGTGACCCCTACAGAGAATACTCAACAAAACCAAAACAGATTAATCCATAATTGTAAAATGAACTTTGAACTCCTTAACACAGATATGACTTGCAAGCAAACAAGGGACTGAGGTTTTCCATTACTTCCAATAAACAAGTAAACCACTTACACTAAAATCCTCTATTTTCTATATCTATCTTGCATTTCCTACTGAGACTCATAATTCTGTAGTTTTAAAATTGCAAAATACAGGCTTTAGGCAGAATATTTAATGCAAAATAACAGGGAGGGGCAAAGCCAGAGGATATCTTAAGAACATAAGAAATGCTAGATTAAAAATGACCAAGGTCCACGCAGCAGAGATCCAAGAGGACTAGGAGGCAGAGGGAACCCTGGTCACAGATAGAGAGGATGTTGTTTGTGACTTTGACAAGCTCTGTCTCCATGCAGTGGGCAGGGCGAAAACCAGATTGCAGGGGCTCAAGGAAGGAGTGAAAAAAGAGGTGTGACTGAAGTTCCTACAACAATGCGTTCCAGGACTTTGGTAAGGAAGGGTAGGTTGGAGATGGGATGGTAGTGTGAGAGATTAGAGGGATGGTTTTTTTGAAGAAGGGTGTGATAACAGTGGTTTTCAGTGGGCGTGGAGCAGAGGCTGAGGAGAGACTGGTTGACTGTGTCAGTCAGCAGGGAGGAGAGAAGGGGGAGTTGAGTGACCAGCACTGGGTGGGGAGGGTATCGAGGCAGCAGGTGGTGAACTTGATCCCAGTGATTGTAGTTGAGAGGGAGGAGGGAGAAATGGAGACAAAGGAATGTAAGGAGGGGGGAGTGGCAGGAGCCAAGGCAGAGGGAGAAGGCAGTGTGGATGGTCTGGGTGAGGTGAAAGGGGACATGGGGGGGCTGTTGCAGCCAAGCAGGTAATTCTCACCCAGAGATAAGATACCGTGACAATACCGTAGCCCCTCCCTATCTCTCTGATCTCCAATCCCACCAATCTGCTTGGTCTCTCCATTTGGCTAGCAGCGCTTGCTATGCATTCTTTATAATCAGACTAAACAATAAATATAAGGCTATTCAACCACTTAGCATTATAGACAAGATTAATCCTGTTTTTATTAGACATCCTCAAAAACAAAGCGTCCCTCACCCTGTATACTCTTTAATGCTGATTTTAATGAACATCCTGCAGATTTAAAGAGAACATAAGAAACGCTGGACGAAAGAAGACCAAGCTCCATCTAGTTTGCCTTCCACCTTCCTGGCGGTCACAAGCACATATGTCCCGCATGCACATATAATTATAATCCTTGCATTTGATATAGCGCTATTCACGTCTTCTAGACGTCTCAAAGCGCTTCACAGAATATGCTGTAAAGTGAATTGACCGTATGTTTGTGGGTGAAACGCGGCAGCCAATCGCGTACAGCAGTGTCCTACAGTCGTGGATTGAAAATGAACAATTTATTATTGTTTTGTTTTGGAGGGATTATTATTAGGCGTGTGGAGTAAGGAAACTTGCCCAAGGTTTCGCGCTGCAGCTCCACCCCTCATCCTGTCACTTTCCGCGCTGTCTCATAGAGACCGACTGAAAAACAGGCACAGCGGAGAGGTAAAGCAGTGAAGTAGGAAATGGTTTGCGGCCAGACAAAATTATTCACCGGGCAGGTTGCAGCCCATGGGCCGCCTTGTGGACCAAGCTGCCCTATGATCTCAAAGTTCCAATATTGGGTTGAACCCACAAACCTCTCTGACTCAGAAGGAGTGCAACCAACCGAGTGAGTGTGATACAAATCATAAGATTCCTGGTGTTCAGTGTGAACACGTCATCCTGGAGGTATGGAAGTGGTGGATGATCATCTGTATATCAAGATTTTATGACTGGTTCTGAACTATTTGTGGTACAGATTGCAACAACAACTTGCATTTATATCGTGCCCTTATCATGGAGAAGCATCTCCGAGCGCTTAGTCTAAGCACAGTGTAGCCAAAATCTGAACAAGTCACAAGGCCCAAAACAAAAAGAGTGCAATACAACACTGCTGTATTAGAATTCCATCACTATGCTATGTATATATTATTTTAAATTCACTTGAAAGTGCTCTTCTAGTTGCAATAATGATACAAAATTGAAAAAAATGCATATAGGGATGGATGTATATATATTTGGCATAACATTGAAGGAACATCAAGATGGTAAATAAAGAAAGTGACTGGATGGTTATCATTAAAAATCTGTCTGCACCACTGAATATGACGATACAAGTACTGAACCAATTTCTCATATATGCATCCAAGTCTCAGTTAGAGAAGTCAGGGATGGACAGTGAAATAAAGACCCTTTCCCAGAAGAAGAAAAAAATAGATGGGTAAATAAGTTTCTCTTCTAAACACTCCTAAAAGAGAAATCCTAGAAGCATTTCACTTGCCCTTCATTTTGGTGAAATATATATGGTGTAAAGAGGGCTGATCAAATGAGCTGAAATATTTGTTTATATTGATATTCCTACATGATCTTGCAACATGGTTAGCATCACTAGTTCTTTTGATTGTAATAGCACTAAGATGCAGGATATTATTCAGAGGGCATATTTAAGATGAATTTAAGATGAAATGTGCATTTGTTTCAATGCACACTTTAACGGAAATTACTTCTTGGTTCCTAACCCAGCTGCTGAACCGTTATTTAAATGAATGTCCAGACAGTTCGGCCTTAGAAAAGATATGTAGTGGTTGTTCTTTGATGTTATGTTACCACCTGAGGTTCAGTGTTGACGTCAACAAGGACGCCAAAATGTTGGTGGGATTTTCCCTAGCAACACAACATTTCCAAACTGTGTGTGCTTGATATTATTCAAAGGTCAAGGGCTAGAGACACTGTCTTCTATTTGCATTAACTAGAATTCAAAAACTATAATTTATCAACATAGCACTGAAATTCCATGTGTTGAAAGCAGGATTACAAAAGTCTAAATTTTTTAAAGGAATTTAAACAGTTTTTGTAAAGTCCAAAGATTTTTTTTGTTACTACTATGATCTTTCATTATAAATTTAAGTAAGATGTATTGTGCATCTTAACAATTAGAAATTTAAAACCGCCTAAATAGATAGTCAGAAAACATAATTCATTGCATCTTCGAGGAAGTGTTGGCATATTTTGTTGTGATATCTTGTTTGGCAATATGAAACAGATCCAAGGAAATAACCAATGGTTATAAAAGTGGATGGGATGTTTAAAAAAAATCAAGCGATTTACAACAATAACAACAAAATTACATTAGGTAAAGCGCCTTTCAGTTCAGAAGGACGTCCTAAGGTGCTGGTAAGGCAAGACATTAAAGATTATGATAGGAAAAAGTATGATTGTTGATTAAGAAAGAGCAAATGAATTAAAGGAATTAATTGTACCTGTGATTTCAACTGTTCTTTTGGCTAAATTTCAAGTCTGCTGAAAAGGCCTACTTTTGTTCTTCTGGTGGGACATATTATAATAATAATAATAATCCTTGCATTTGATATAGCGCTTTTCACGTCGGGAGGATGTCCCAAAGCGCGTCACAGAACACACTGTAAAGTGAATTGACTGTACATTTTTTTGTGAGCAAACGCGGCAGCCAATTGCGCACAGCAATGTCCCACAAACAGTCGTAGATTGAAAATGACCAATTTATTATTGTTTTTGGTTTTGGAGGGATTATTATTAGGCGTGTGGAGTAAGGAAACTTGCCCAAGGTTTCGCCCTGCCTGGAATTGAACTCAGGTCTCTCACTTGAAAAGCGAGTGCTCTAACCACTGAGCTACAGGACTCCACTTATTAAGCTAATTATTAGGACAAATTTGTTTTGCTTCAGGCTCAACATGATCATATATTGTGACTGCATTCCGTTTATGTGAAATTTAAATCTAGTTACCACAAATTTTAAAACTGCATGTTAAATCTTGACATTTTGGAAGGTCTCTACTTGGGACAGCTGCTGAAATTGCCTTTTCTGAGAATGCAATTTAATTTTATATAGCGTCTTTCAAGTCAGGAGGACTAAATGTTCAATCTGTCTGAGATCTAAAATATGTATTCAGGTGGAAGTCAAAATAAGTGATTTGGTTTATTCACAATGCGTAAGAAGGTTTAGACCGAGCAAAACTTCCACTAAACAGAGATTTGTGAGTTATTTGCTGAGAATCCAAACACGTTCTAAAAAAGACAGGTACCCGTGGTAGTTAAATTTATAACTATCTATCTTGATAACTGAGGTTGTTTCTGAAGACAGAATACTGAAGTCCTTTTCAGGACACAATGAGGGTTACCATGTTTTATTCAATTTAGTTTAGCTAGTGAGTAAAATGATTTAACATTTTTTGAATTCAATGTAAGCCTTGCACATAAAAACACTAAAATAAATGTTATCCGGACATAAGCACCTTGGAACAACAAATGTTTGCCCAGGCAATTGCTCTCATTTGCTTTGTCATCCAGCTTTTGTTGTGAAGGCTAAGTATGATTTTTTTTCTTTCTAAAATTCTGATTCCTACCCTAAACAAATATTTGTTTTAATGCATAGTCATTTTAAAACAAGTGCATATATGGAAGTGTTGTATTGATACACATTTTTTTTTAAAAAAAGCCCTGTGGAGCGGTCTCTATCCTCATTTAACTGAATCATGGAATAATTACAAGTGCCTAAGCAATGATTACCCGACCTGGATGGACATTCTGAAAAATTATGGCTACTACACAAAGGTGTATGGAAAGACTGATTACACTTCTGGGCACCATTCAATCAGGTAGGAAGCACATTTAAACTTGCAGTGATCATATTTCTTTTGAATTTTTCTAAACATTTCTTTTGACTAAACAAGTCTATTTATTGTCACATGCTTAATAACTATACTTTCCCTGGTGGTTAGTAAATCATGTATGCCCATATTAGTTATAGTAGGATGTAGAAGCTATAAAGGTAGTACATCTACACTGAAACAACAACAACGATTGCATATATAGAGCGCCTTTCATGTAGGGAGGACGTCCCAAATATAAATGATGGTGTAATAGTGGATAGAGCTGCGATTTACAGACCAGGAGATCATTGGTTCAAATTCCTGGTCTGTGCTAAGATTGTTGGTCTCAGCTGAGACTGCATGGGTATTGTCCCCAAACATTCCAGGATTAGGGAGTGGAAAACTAGCCAGTTATAAGATGCCAATTTTGTCTATCGTCTGAAGGACAATGCTGATTAAAATGCTCAATTAAGGAACTATGGAGTGGAAGGAAGCAAGCTCTATTTCCTCCTTCATTTTGTGATTGAACTACCATGTAGTGTAAAGACATTGAGTGAAGGTTCAGTATCTTCCTCTAATGGGACCGGTTGGAACTCAAATGAGGAGGCTGTGGTGGGCTTCCTGACTACAAATCATATAATGATACCTGGCAACAGACTTGACTTGCTTCCTGTTCTCTCAGTGCATCAGATTTGTGACCTGGTAAAATAATATCATAGGAGGGCACTCCTCTCCTGCATGCTTTTGGGAAAAATAGATTTCTTCAACTTTATAATAACTTAGTCTTTTATGTTTATTGCAAATTGTTTTATTTTAGCTGACCTTCCAAATGACTGCCCTATCACCCACTTCTGTCTTTTACAAAAAGGCTGTGGAAAAGATTTGGCATTTGGTATCAACCAAACTTTCTTGGGGAAGTGATTAATTGTTTTGTTTAACATTTCGATTACTGGTTTATACATTATAGGAAATTAGTGAATAACAAATATTAGAGTAATAATAATCCTTGCATTTGATAAAGTGCCCTATCACGTTGTTGAGATATTTCAAAGTGCTTTACAGGATACACTGTAAAGTGGTTTGACTGTGAAATGCAGCAGACAGTTGCGCACAGCAATGTACAACAAACAGTCATGGAGTGAGTGACCAATTTTATTTGGGGGATTGTTGGCCGGGAGAAACTCCCTTCTCTTTTCGAATCGTGCCATTGGATCTTTGATATCCAGCTGAAAAGGCATACAAGCTCTTTAATATCCACAGAGTTTTAATTTGCTTTTGTCACTTATCATTGCTTTCAGTAACCGTGTGGAGGCTTGGACCAGGGATGTTGAATTTTTGCTGAGACAAGAAGGGAGGCCAACAACAGCTCTGGTTGGTAATGAGACAACTGTGAGAGTCATGGATCGTGATTGGGAGAACACCGATAAAGCAGTAGAATGGATAAGATACAAAGCAACCCAGCTCAGTCAACCATTTGTTCTCAGCTTAGGTCTGAACTTGCCTCATCCTTACCCAACTCCAAGTATGGGAGAAGCATGTGGAGGTTCCACATTTAAAACCTCTCCTTACTGGCTCAAAAAGGTACACAATTGTTGTGGAACGTCCAATCCAAAGTTGTATTTGATCAAAAGAGTATAGATGCGCACAGTGTGAGTAGTGCAATGTTTAATTTAATTAGATATCTCCCAGTAAATTGGTCAAAAACCTGTGGAATTATTTATTATTTAAAGCACTATTTTACTTTTATCCTTCCTCAGACATTGGAAGTGATTTGGTGTTTGAATATTCATCATAAACTTTCACTATCTGAGCAATGTGAACAGGAATAACCAATTGCTCAGATATAACTCCATAGTATTCGGTTACAGCACTGTAGTTTGTCTCAACCTTTTATAACTCATTGGCAAAGGGCACATTTTAAAATGTGATAATTTTGGACACTACTTTAAAAGGAATATTGATGTATTGGAAAGTGCTCAGATAAGACTGAGTGGGCTGATTCTAGATCTTTGCTCCATTTTAAAGAGAGATTTGCAAACTGAACCTGCTTTCGTTGGAACAAAGATTGAGAGGAACATGCTGGGAGATTAATAATAATAATCCTTGCATTTGATATAACGCCTTATCACGTCTTCTAGAAATCACAAGTGCTTTATAGAATATAGTGCAAAGTGAATTGACTGTATATTGTAGGCAAAATGCGACAGCCAACTGTGCACTGCAGTATCCCACAAACAGTTGTGGATTGAGTGACCAAATTTTTTATTTTTTTTTGAAGGGATTGTTATTCCCATAAAAGCGATCCGCAACCAGGTTCCTACTTACTGTTAGGTAAACAGAGGCATATGGATTAAGGAAGCATGCCCAATGTTTTGCCCCACCCAGGAATCAAACCCAGGTGTTCTCACTTGCGAGGCGAGTGCTTTAACGACTAATCTACAGGACTCCACTAGATCTCCATTAGAATGGAGATAAATTCATCTGTTCAAAAAAAATATTTGCTGTACATTTATATGTCTAATGTTTATGCAAATACACAAGGCATCCATCATCAATGGGGTTGAGTACCAGATGCTAACTTGTATATAATTGTAATAGATATCTAATGATATTTTTTAACTTGAATAAGTTTTCAGAATAATAATGTTAAAACTCACCAATCAGTATTCATTTGATCAATTTCTCAGTGTCTGATTAAATATCCTAACCCTAATTTCAGGTGTCATACGAACTGGTCTCTATTCCAAAATGGCTTCCTTTCTTTGAAATGCACCCTGTAGATTATTATTCCTCCTATACAAAAAACTGTACCAGCGATTTCACTCAAAAGGAAATTAAGAACATTCGAGCATTTTACTATGCAATGTGTGCTGAAATGGACTTGATGCTTGGTAAGTGATTCACTGCTTCAGATGGTCACAGGTATACTCATTGTCTTTTCCTGTGCTTACATTCTTTCCCCGTTCCTTGTACCTTCCGTTCCCCCATCGGTGGCCACGCTTTTACCGACTATGCCCAGAATCTATGGAACACTCTTCCTCTATCCCTCCGCCTTGCCCCTTCCTTCCTCATCTTCAGGTAGCAACTGAAGACATTCAGCTTTGACTATGCCTATGGTCACCTCCCCCCAGCTTAGCATCATGTTCTGCCATTGTCAAATGCTCTGGGACGCTACCCTGCATGAGGGATGCTGCATAAATGCAAATTGTTGTTGTTGACACATGCGGAAAGAATATCCAAACCAAACTGAAATTTCCATGCAGCCTACCTACACATGGACATTCCTGTATATTGGAATGATTTGCACACACTCTCACTGGAGGAATGCATCCTAATTGTGGAGATTATTAAGCACATCTTGGCAAGAAGAAAGCTTGGGATCCCAAAGTATGCATTAGGGTACTGCTGGAGTTTACCATTGGAAGTTCAGCAAGGACCATCTTATCCCATTGGGGCTTTGGTTGCAGTGTTAACAAGAACTAAGTGGGAAGAATCACTGCCCCCAGTGACTAGTATGCCCTTCCAATTCCTACTAATGAGCCACGTTGGTTGGGCTGTCATCAGCAGCCTGGATTATTGTGAACCCACCTGGTGCAGGAACTGGACTGTCGAGATCACCAAAGAGGGTTGACTTAATTCCAACATTCTATTCCCTCACATGTCACCTTGGAGCCAGTTCAGCTCTAATGAGACCCTGTTTACCTCCTCATACCGACCCCTGGAAAGAGGATAGTCACTAATTCGTCATTTAACATCCATCAAGTGCAGGTTTCATCCCTCCCTCAGTGGATGGCAAGTACCAGAATCAAAGCTCAATGTGAAATGTGTGAGAACATTGTCACCATCTTCCTGCCCACAGCTCAGTCGCACATATCTACGCATTGAGTAATGGTTCTTCCAGTTAGAGGTGCAGAGCTTGAGTAATCTATAATTATCAGTCTTTCCATTTAGTATAGGAAAGACTGATAGCTTCATATTAAGTTCTGTTCATTGTAGTGACTGCATTTGTAAACAACCGCAGAAGCCAATTTGAGCACAGCATATAGAAATGGGAAGGGGGGAACAATACTTAATGATTTACAAGACTACATATTGTGACATTTTTTCATTGCATGAGCTGACATTTATCTGTTAAAGAACCTTGAATTGCAGCCCAAAATTATGAAAAAGCAGTAAACTATAGTATTACATTATCTTAAAATGTATTATTCATTCAGAATAGCCTGAATTGTACAACACACTACATATGGTCATCAATATGATGCTGATAAATAATCCCAGATATATGGAATGCACAATTTCACAAAATCATACTTTTTTTTCCATTAGGTGCACTAGCAATTGGAGGGGATTGCAGCAATGTTCTCAGTATTAGGAGTGACAGCTGTAACCATAGCATTTCCCACTGAGCTTTAGGTGACGTCAGTACCATAAACAGAAGATGCTTCTGCTACAGAAAGAAAATCGAACACCATCATGCTGGTTTTCAGCATCTCCAAGCATGCTATCTGTTACCATAGCAGCCATATGGCTATACTATAAACCACCATATGATTAAAAGCACGACCAAAAACAAATTACCTTAAAAAAAATGCATTATTATAGTTATACATAAGAATTATCGATTTTCATTAATACAAAAATAAGTTATTAGTAATCAAAGGTATATTAATAAAAACAAAACACAAAATACTGCAGATGCTGGAAATCTGAAAACAAAAACAGAGTTGCTGGGAACACTCAGCAGGTCAGGCAGTAGCTATGGAGAAAGGAGTCAACGTTTTGGGTCCACAACCCTTCATCAGAAACAGTCGTGGACCCGAAACATTGACTCACTTTCCTTTCTCCATAGATGCTGCCTGACCCGCTGAATGTTCCCAGTGACTTCTGTTTTTGTGTTCAAAGGTATATTAATGTTCACTTTTCTTTTCCGTCACATTACAAGCACTTCAACAATGAATACAACGTATCTGTGCTATATCCATGTTTCTGTGCTCAATATCTTCTCACCAGCCACAATAATCTGAAACAAGTACACCTCAAATATAATAAACCTTGCATTTGATAAAGCGTCTTATCACGTCTTTGAGACGTCTCAAAGCATTTCACAAAATATACTGTAAAGTGAATTGATTGTATATTTTGTGGGCCAAATACGAAAGCGAATTGTGCACAGCAGTGTCCTACAAACAGTCAAGGATTGAGTGACCAAATTATTATTCTAATTTTTTTGAAGGGATTATTACCCCTGGGAAAGCGATCGCCAATTGACTAGCAACGGGGTTCCTACTTACATTTGACATAGGAAAATGTCTAAAGTGCTTTATAAAAACTGAGTGGGAGTTCAAGCTGGGCGGGAGATAATAATAATATTCATCCCTACATTTGATATGGTGCCTTTCATGTCAGGAGGACATCTCAAAGAGCTTCACAGGATATACTATACAGCGAAGTGACTGTGTGCCTTGTGGTTGAGTTTAGTGAATGACCAAGTGAATTTCGAGGAATTGTTGGTCAGAAGAAACTTGCTTCTTTTCCAAATAGTGCCATGGGATCTTTAATATCCACCTGAGCAGAGGGGATGTTGTTTTAATGTTTAAGCCGAAGGAGAGCAGCACATTCCCAACAATTTTAGCTCAGAGGTGAGAGTGCTACCAACTAAGCCAAGGTTGAGATAAGGTGGGAGATTCAAACTCTCAGTCAAAGAAAGATTTTAAGGTCATTTTGGAAAGTCGAAAAGGAGGGAACAAGGTAGAGAGATTATAGTATCAATTAAGGTATCAATTTTTTACTGTTGAAAATTTAGGAAACGATTGGAGGTACAGTCGCTATTAGCATTCTTTTGTCAAGTTAAAATTTACCTCTTGAGCAAGGTTGTAGAGTTGCATTAAAGGTAATTTCTACTTCACACAATTATTATGAAACAATAAAGTTAAATATCTGAAGTAATGAACAAAATGAATTCATAATATCAGTCATACTTTGACTTCTCACTCACTTTTACAGTTGTTTTCAATATTGTTTTTGACTTGCTCTTTATCCTTTCACTTCTAAATTCTAGAGTATTTTACGGACTGTAGAACCTCTCTAAAAGGTGCTTGTTATAAGACTGGTTGATTTATAAGGTACTCGCAGTTAACTTCAGCACTTAGATCCACTGCAGTATTATCACTGTGTTAGAAATGTGTTATTCATATAATTTTACAAAAACAGGAGACCGTTTAGACGAAACAAATGTAAAGCTTTCCATTCTTCTGTGTTCAAATTTAATGCATTAAACTGATTCAACAGAATTAGATTTGGTCTCTTAAAAAAGTTTCTATTTTCACAGGAAAGATTTTTTCTGCTCTATATGACACTGGGCTCCAAAACAACACTTATATAATCTTTACCTCAGACCATGGTGAACTAGCTATGGAGCATCGGCAGTTTTATAAAATGAGTATGTATGAAGGAAGTTCTCATGTTCCTCTACTACTGGTTGGACCAGGTGTCTCAGGAGGGCAACAAATTTCAAACTTGGTATCACTTGTGGACATTTTCCCAACCATCCTCGGTAAGTATAATATTATTGGTCTAAGACTAACAGAAAAAAAAGTGTGGCTAAAATTGAAGCTGTGATTCAATGATTTAGTGCAATGATTATCGGATTGCCCTTTAATCTTTAAAAGGTGAATTTGAATCTAACCAGACTGAGAGGATAAAATTCACCTCTGATAGTTTTAAGGTTTAAAGTGAATTTTGTTCAATTGTCTTATCGTTTTGATGAGTAGATATGAGTTCACTGAATGCCACCTTAACTTAAAGTTTTAATATACAGTAAAATTTACATCAAGACCATAACATTTAATGACTTACACAAAGTCCGAGTTGCAGGCATACTGTATAAATCGTGTAAAATCCAATTTAATCAATAATCTACACTGCGCTTGATTAATTCAATGCAACCGGTAATGCCCATCCGATAGTTCATCACTGCAGCTGGTAAGTTTGAATATGGTCACGGGTCAAGACTAAATTTCCTACAATTGAATGCGTGTTGACCCATCGCAGCATGCGCACTTACTGGCAAGCATTGGAACTGCAGTGAATCGTTGGAAATAAAGTTCTTCTGTACATGTGTTGACAAATCAAGATTGTTTCCCTCTCCAGTGCAGCCGGATGGTAAGTGCACATGCGTTGATGGGTTAGGAGTTGATTAATACAAGTAACTCAAAGAAATCTAACTAGACTGGTAATGGTTTTGATAGGAACTGAATGGAACTTGGATGAATGTAAGACTTGGCCAATTACACGATTTAAAAAAGATAAAACTTATGTGAGTTTTACTGTACAAAATATTTGAGTATTCACTCTTTATCTCATGAAAAATAGTAAACTTTATTGTTCAAAGGGTTTTGTACATTTTCGACCAAGGTGATTTGTGGATTTTGGTAGAAATGTCAAGGGACTTGGAATATATTTGGCCTAAGCTGACACTCCACAATGCATTAATGGGGCGTGCTACATTATTGGAGTTGCTATCCTTCGGAGAAGATGTTAAACCAAAGTGCTACCTGCCTATTCAGGTAGACAATACATCTCCTGATGTCCCAGCCAATAATCCCCAAATTAAAAAAAACGATTATTCATTTCATGTCTGTTTGTAGAATATTGCTGTGTGCGAATAGGCTGCCACGTTCCCTCACAAAATACAGTCACTCCACTTTACAGTATATTCTGTGAAGCTCTTTGAGAAGAGCTTCCTGTCATGAAACTATATCAAATGTAAGGATTAATATTAATAGTAGTATATTTTAGCACCTGAGATGCTGGCTGGCTCTTTAAAGCAAATCTTGAACCACAAATTGAATTAGAATTAAAAACTGATTTCCAAACTCCAGTTGCACTATAATGAATCAGTGTTATAACAAAGTGTATTGTAACATGGTTACACTGCGTTTTTATTTGGTCTGGTTTCCTATATCATCAAATTGCTCTGTTACATTGATGTACAATCCAATTTTTATTTTGGAAGTTATGGCAGAAATATAGGAAGCAAAGGAATAACAATTGGGGAGGTAAAGAAAAGCAGACAGGCAAAACGGGTCAATTCTTTATAAAAAGAGAAGATCAGATTTAAATGCAATTCATATTTTCTATATACTGCTTATTTTCTTGAATTTCCACAATTCTTTCAGAATTCTTCAAACAATATAATTATCTCCATGATTAATAGGTTCTAACATACTCTCAACAGCCAATATTCTTTATTCAATCATTCTTATTAAGCAAGAAAGATAGAATTAATATTTCCTTTCAACAAATATTGAAGGGTGTGCAATTTAATTCAAGTAGACTTTTAAAATTGAAACACAAATAATTAATTGTGGAAAGATTCTTTATTTGCTGCTAGAACCTTCAGTTGATTTTGCTAATGGAATCCATTTGTTTTCTATTCAGACATTGCTGGAGTCCCTTTCGTTGGAAACCTGAGTGGCTTTTCACTACTACCGTTGTTGTCAAGAGGTTTGAGAAAGAAAATTTCTTTTAATAATTCCCGTCCTAACTGGGTTCTCAGTGAGTTTCATGGCTGCAATGTGAATGCCTCCACCTATATGTTTAGAACTGGCAAGTGGAAATACATAGCCTATGCAGATGGTGTTTCCATACCTTCCCAGCTTTTTGGTAAGTCTAGTAAGTTTGTTAAAAAAAGAAAGGTTTTTAGATTGTAATTTCATAATCTTGATATCTTTCTGCATTTTGAAACACAGTGTGACTGTGATCTTTACCCAGTTCATCTCTACCTTTTCAATATGTACCCAGTATAACTTAATCATGGATGGACTCTCCACCTCACGGAGCCAGTACGGAACCTTGGTGTTCTTGTTCGACCCTCAACTGTCTTTTAAACCCCACATCTGTGCCATGACCTGTTCTGCCTTCCCCCACCTCCGCACCGTTGCTCGCCTCCACCACTATCTCTCCTCTCATACTTGCTTTCATTACGCCCAGGCTTGACTACAACTCACTGCTCGCTGGATTTCCCAACTCTTCCTTCCACAAGCTGCAGATTATTCAGAACTCTGCAGCTTGTGTCCTTTCCCGCATTAAGCTCTATGACCTGATTATTCCCATTCTCGCCCAGCTCCACTGGCTCCTCATCCCCCAGAGGAATGAGTTTAACACCCTCACCTTTAAAGCCCTCCATGGTCCTGTTCCTCCCTGAAATCAAACCTTTATCGACCTTTCCGCTCCCTCCACTCAGCGGGCACTGCCCATTTCAGCATTTCTGCCCGCACCCTCTGGAACGCCATCCCAGAGGCTTTCCGCCTCACCTCCTACCTTTCCTCACTTCCTTGAGATTGCAGTTTTGGTTTGAGCACTGAGTTTTGGGAGGAATTGTTATTATTTTTATATTAGCTGCTGTATTTGCATGTTTCCAAGACTTACAAAAAAAGTATGTTTTACCCATAACTTACAGTTTAAAAAGAGAAATAATACTAGAATGATGGGTAATAGTCTAGGGTGACAATCTAATCTAATCTTGGTGGGGCGGGTGGGGTGGTGGGGAAAGAGTGCTGAATTGTCAAAGGTATCTTCCTTCGGATGAGATTTTAAACAGAGGTCCCATCTAATAATAAAAATAATTATCTTTGCATTCGATATAGTGCCTTAGCAGGTCTTTGAGACGTCTCAAAGCTCTTCACAGAATATACTGTAAAGTGAATTGACTGTATATTTTGTGGGCGAAACACGGCAGCCAATTGCACACAACAGTGTCCCACAAACAGTCGTGGATTGAAATTAACAAATTATTATTTTTTTTCCCCTGGAAATGCGAACCCCCAACCAGCTTCCTACTTAATGCTGGGTAAACAGTGGTGTGTGGAGTAAGAAAATTTGCCCAACTTTTCACCCTGCCGGGAATCAAACCCAGGTCTCTCACTTGTGAAGCGAGTGCTATAACCATTGAGCTACAGGACTCCTATTTAACCTATTTAAGCATTCTGTGACCCTACCCCATGTGAAGGGTGCAATATAAATGCAAGTTGTTTTTATGGGGCGTTTACAAATCCCATAGCACTATTCAAAAAGAGCTGGGAATTTCTTCTGGTGTCCTGGCCAACAAATCCCCCAGATATAAATTGGTCATTCATTTCATTTGTTGTTGTTGTTGTTCATGTCTGTTTGTGTGGCACTCCTGTGTGCAAATTGGCTGCCACATTTGGTTGCAAGTACAGAGTCACCACACTTTACAGAAAATCCAGTGAAGCTGTTTGAGACTCATCGATGTAATAAGATACTATACCATTTTATCCTTTAAAATGAACAATATGCAAGTCATTTTGGAATGCATTTTGATTACTTTTGTAAATTAAATCATATTAAATATTTTCTGTTAATTAAATCATTAATTTATGTGAAACAAACAAGAGCTTTACAAAAGAGCTTTAATGAGATACAATATAAATTTACATTTGTAAAGAGCCTTTCATGTTTGGAATATAAATGTAATTTTGTTATTGTTGCTGTTGGAGCTGCAGGGACGTCCTCCTGACGTGAAAGGCGCTATACAAATGTAATCTTGTTGTTGTAGGAGGACATCCCAAGGTGCTTAATATACTGGTTTGGCACCTGAACTGTGAGTTGAGGGCGGTGGGCAGAGGAAAGGTGGCAGAAAGTACAGTGAAAGAAGGAGATCTTGACAAGTACCTTGAACAAGGTGAGGGAGGGAACAAGTCGGAGGAACTCTGGGATGAAGTTCTAGAAAGTGGGGGAAGGAAGGATGATGGGGCAGGTAGAATGGGGACCATGACGCAGGCCAGTGCGATTTGAGGAGGTTGCAGGCTGCTGACCCTGTATCAACCTGTTCTGCTCCCTCCGCTATGGCCTGCTCCATATGGGATGAGACCATAAAGGGATTTAAAGGTGCGAATGAGGATCTTGAACTTGATCCGCTTGGGACTGGGGAGCCAATGAAGCCAGTCGAGGATGGTGTGATAGGCTTGCGGGAACTAGTGCAGGAAAGAACACTGACTGCAGAGTTCTGCATAATCTGCATCTTGTGAAGAGTTGGGTGATCCAGTAAGTAGAATATTGGTGTAGTCAAGCCTGAACTTGATAAAGGCATGGATGAGGGTATTGGCAGCCCACGGCAAGAGGTAGTAACGGAGGCAGGAAAGCAGATCAGAGCGCTGATGTGGGGTTTAAAAGACACTTGGTAGTCAAACAAGACACCAAGGCTCCGTGAGGTGAAATGTGTATCCATGCAGGCTGATGCTGTTAATGTCTTGGGCAAGAAGTTGCTGACTGGAGCTAAGCAGGAATGCCTGTCTTGTTGACATTCAACTGAAGAAAGTTTGCTCTCATCCAGAACTTGAGTCTGTCAGGCAATCAGTCAGAACAACAGTGGTCAATCAAGGGTGGAGGCAGAGAGAGAGGGTGTCGTCTGCGTACATGTGCAAGTGAATTCCATGTCTGTGGATGGCATCGCCAAGCGGAAGCATATTGATAGTGAAGAGGAGAGGACCGAGCCAATAAGGAACTCGTGTGGAAGAAACAAGGAAGCAAAAGCTGTTAAAAGCAATAAAGGCAAGATGTTGGGATAGGTAAGTATAAAACCAGGATAGGACAGAACCACGAAGCTACAATACAAAATTACATTTGTATAGTGCCTTTCACGTCAGGAGGATGTCCCAAGGTGCTGGACAGTCAGGGATTTGGACCTGAGCTGGGGGTATGAGGGTGACCAAAGGCTCGGTCAAAGAGGGGGGTTTTGAGATGCGCCTTGAAGGAGGCAAGGGAGGAAGCAATGTGAAGGGAATGTGGGATGGAATTCCGTGGGGAGGTGGCAGAAAGGATGAAGGCCTGGCAGCTGATGGGCCAGGACCGGGCGGGGTACATGGAGCAGGCCACAGCCCGCTGAACGGAGGGAGCGGACAGGTTGATATGGGGTCAGCAGGTGGCAGGGCCTTGAAGGTGAGTCCTAGAATTTTGAACTCTATCCTCTGGGGAATGGGGAGCCAGTGGAGCCGGGCAAGGATGGGGGTGATGGGGCACGGAGCCTGGTATAGGAGAGGACACGAGCTGCAGAGCTCTGGATAATACGGAGCTTGTGGAGAGAAGATTTGGGAAGGCTGACAAGCAGGAAGTTGGCGTAGTCGAGCCTAGATGTGATTGAACGCATGGGTGAGGGTTTCAGCGGCCTGAGGTGAGGCAGTGGCGGAGCCGGAGATATTGTGGAGGTGGAGGAAGGTAGAGCAGGTCATGGCCCGGATGTGGGGTAGGAAGGACAGTTGAGGATCAAACAAGACTCTAAGGTTCTGGACAGGCTCGTTGAGGTGGAGTGTGCATCCCTGGATGGTGATGCTGTCAGCGCCTGAGGTGTGGAAGCACTGACGCGAGCCAATCAGGAGGGCCTCGGTCTTGTTAGCATTCAACTATAGAAAGTAGTTAGCTCTCATCCAGGACTTGATGTCTGTCAGGACAGCAGAAGTCCTGGAATCGAGGGTGGAGGCAGAGAGATAGAGTTGGGTGTCATCCGCATAGATGTGGAAGTTGACCCCATGTCTATGGATGATGTAACCAATAATAATAATAATCCTTGCATTTGATATAGCGCTTTTCACGTCAGGAGGACGTCCCAAAGCGCTTCACAGAACACACTGTAAAGTGAATTGACTGTATATTTGTGGGCGAACGCGGCAGCCAATTGCGCACAGCAATGTCCCACAAACAGTCGTAGATTGAAAATGACCAATTTAATTATTGTTTTTTTTTTTGGAGGGATTATTATTAGGCGTGTGGAGTAAGGAAACTTGCCCAAGGTTTCGCCCTGCCTGGAATTGAACTCAGGTCTCTCACTTGCAAAGCGAGTGCTCCAACCACTGAGCTACAGGACTCCACAATCTCCAACCAAGATGGAGCATGTAGATACTGAAGAGGAGGGGACCAAGGACAGAGCCCTGAGAAATACCGCATGAGACGATGCAATAATTTAAGTTTTCTGAATGTATTAAATGCAGTAAATGCAGTTTGATTCGAGTAGTGTAGTACCTTATAATCATTAGACATCTTATTTTTACCAACTTCATATTTTTTTTTTAAAAAGTGAGATTTCTAATAGTTGTTTAGTATTTTTATTGTCGTGTATTACCAATGCACGAACAGAGTGGAAAGGTTATGCAACTGAAGAGATGTTTCACTGGCACTTCTAACAAATCTCTTTTTCACTGCACTGAAATTTATTTGATGTCCTCAGATCTGGAGTGACACAACTTTAAAGGTAACCTCCTGCCTGTAGTGCATTGACGTGCATTCAACTAAGCAAGCAATAGGACCTTTGAAGCCGTTTTCCAGTGCAGACAGAAGCTAAGACCGATATTGTTTACAAAAATGTACAGCATGGAAACGGGACAGTCGGCCTGACCAATCTGTGCCGGTGTTTATACTCCACACGAGTCTCGTCGCAGGCCTTAGTCCCTCCCATACACTCTTTCCTTTGAGATGACTTCTCACTCCTCCCATTATATTGCCCTCTCCCTCATGTGAAGGTCTAGTTTCCTCTTCAATGCATGTATACTATCTGATTCAACAACAACTTTAGATCCACAATCTCACTACCCTCTACATGATGTAGTTCCTCCTAAATTCTATTTTTGATCCTCCCAGCCCCTAGCTTATAT